TTTTCAGCACAAAATATTTTTTATTATAAATATTTGCATTCTTTGAGAACTCTCGTAATGTCTACATTTTAACTAAAGCAGAATTTCACAAGAATTTATTTTGCACAAATAAATAAATATATATATATATATATAAATCTAATAAAGCTGTCTGCATGAGGACAGCATTTAGTTCGTTATAGAGCAGTTCAACTGTATGCATATACTTACATACATATATATATGTATGTATATATTTATATTTCTTTGTATGCTTTGCCAGATATTAACTTTGATTTCCACTCCGCATGTAAGTAGCTGCATTCTCAGCACATTCACGCCATGATTTTCATATACAGAGTCGCAAAGCAATTCCATTTCACTACACACTCAGCACATCCCTTCAATATTGGCTCGCCTTTCTCTACCCATCCCCCTTGTACAGCCCTCCCAGACTGCGGCAGCTGCCTTTGCTGCTTTGGACTTTCATGAGCTGCATTTTGCATGCGCTGTTTTTTTTTTTTCCTTGAGTCTGATTTTTTTTTTCTGTTTTTTTTTGCCGACTGCCTCACTGCACAACTCTCGCTCTCTGGCAACCAGGCCGGCAGGTGGAAGCTACTTTTGCTGCCTGTGATTCATTTGCATGCCGGCTACTTCTGCTTGCACCTCTGTGTGGCAGCTGTTTAGTGACCCCAAAAGGAGCGAACAAAAAATATATGTGGGGAAATGGCGACGCTGCCAGCACGAAACACGTCACAGCCAAAGCATCAAACACCTGGGCCGTTGTCAGCGGGTTCAATACGCGAATTGGGTGGGGGGTGGTGGACAGCAGGGAGCGAAGACAGCTCGGCAAAATGGCAAGTCATGCATTAAATATGCAACATGTCCAATGCATTTTAAAGAACACACACACACACACACACATACAGAGACATCTTTCTATACCCATATCGATAAAATAGATGGAACAATAGCGTAGTCCACATTTCGCGCTGCTGTGGTGCAAACGTGTCTGATTCCCGCCACTCGCGTTGAAATTATAATGTTTCACAATTATTACATACCGCAGGCGTTTCAAGACTCGTTCCTCTATCGGCTGCTACAAAAGATACAGGTGTGCCAGGAGCCGGCTCTAAATGTCAGACACCAGCACTACTACAGGTAGGTCGAAGTTCGCAGCGAGTCAAAACTTTTTGCCATTGGCTTCAGCGTAATTAGCTTGGCTAACTTTTTTTTTTTGGGGCCGCCCAGAGGAAAGTGAAAAATGTGCAGGAAAAAAAAGAAAAAGTTTTGCGCCCAATGACATTTAATCCGGGCGCACACACAGCCACGCCCATGTGGACACGCTGTCCTTGGCCTTTCAGCCGTACGCCCTACGCATGTCGTGTTGTCTGCAGCCCGCAAAAGTATGCAATACTTTTCTCGCTTCGATTTTCAGTGGCGTGCGTGCGGTTTGTGCTGCACATTTGGCATTAATAGCTTGTTATTTATTGCACTTTTGCCCACGTCAAGGCCACGTCAACTCGCCCCCGCCCTTCCGCCCGTTGCCACTTTGGAGCTAACCAAATACCCTTTCCATACACTTCCCTTGCCAGTTTTCTTTGTGCTGTCTGCCTGCTTGCCTACAAATATGGCTACGGCACGCACTCGACTGCATAATACCTGTTCAAGGTGTTAACGGAGTTGTATTTTATATAAAATGGCAAACTTTTGCTTAGTTCTTCTGCTGCTAAAAGTTTTACGCTTTAAGCATGTGAAACAAGTTTGAAAAATGTTGAGTATTGATGAAATTTTAAACATTTTGAATAGAGCTTTAAACATATCAATTTAACTATAGGGCAAATAAATATCTTGTATATTATGCATTTGCAGGGTTCTATGAATGGTTTCCTAAAACTAAAAAATACTACATATCAAATATACAACACATTAAAAAACACATATACCTCTCTTTCACCTTAGCAAAGGGTATATATACGTAAACTTTTTGCCAAGCATATTTATTTATATTTTCAGCACTTGAGCGAAAAGTTTTGCCTTCTGCAGATTATTTTTAAGCCAAGCGAGTTCTTGTTCTTTTTTTTTGCCTCCGTAAAAAAGTGTTGAGTGCCTGGCTGAAAGGTCAGTTTGATGTGGCTTTGTTTCAACTTTAAATGCTACGAGCTGCTCCCCATTCGGGCTATTCCAAATTTGCAAGCATATTTTTAGCAAGTGAAAAGTTTTGCAATGCATTGCAATGATAATTGCATTAAATCTAATTTCTATTCAAAATTGCTTGACGTAGTTGGAAGTCGATTTGTTAAATGAATTTGAATATAATTGAATTTTTTATGACCTGCTGATTTCTAACAATTTTATTGTATATGAATAAATGAATAGAGTTTGGACTAGAGAGGGAAATGACTAATAATATACTGATAGCTGATGTTATACATATGTGCATGTATGTATGAGGTTTAATGCATGCGTTGGTATCTTATATGTAGACTGTTCTTTTCTTCACATGATTTCAATTTTGGCATTCAGAAAGGTCAATCTAGGTATTTGTATAAAATTAAAAAAAAATATATATATATTATGCAAAAAAAAAAATAAAAATGCTAACTAAACTATTAAACAAAATGTGAAATTTTTAAAATTAAAATAATAATAATAACAATAATAATAATAATAATAATAATAATAATAATAATAATA